ATAAACATTGGTTGATCTTTTCAATTTTTTCCATCGATGTGATTATAGTTTGGCATTACGAAGTGGTTGCAGTTTTCGTATTTTGGGATCTTGTTGCGTAAACAAAAATCCTTCACTGAAAATGCTCAATATAAGTTAATGTTTCTACACAGTCTTTATAAAAGTTCATTTTCAATATATTCAGGTCAGAGAATATTTTTTTTTTCAATCTGAGTGCCTGTAGTTTGGTATTTCGTATTCCCTTTGGTAGCAATATATCGTGGAGGGAACAACATAGTCAACACGACCAAACATAACGACATTTTAACATGTTAATAATAAATATAATAACGTTTTTTTCAATAATAATGTCAAACATTTTTTGTTTAGGTTTTCATAATGGAAGTCAATTCACAATAATTGAGGCAGCTGATATCCAGTTGGTCTCCCTGGACGGCCTTATTTATAGGCCTAATGTAAAAAAATGGACCATTATTGTGAAAACGGAAACAAAGACCAAAAACAGCTGACTCTCGCTAGCTGGGTGACCTTAATAATACACCTGATTTAGACTTTGTTTACATTTTCATACTGGAAGGCAATTCACAATGATGGATTTTGACAGCGAACTTGGGAAGCAGCTGATTTGGATTTTAACAGCAAACTTGAGAGACAGCTGATATCCAGCTAATCTACCTGGACGACCTTATTTACAGGCCTAATGTAAAAAATGGACCAAAGCCTATAAATAAGGTCGTCAAGGGAGACCAGCCGGTTATCAGCTGTCTCTCAAGTTTGCTGTCAAAATCCATTATTGTGAAAACGTAAACAAAGGCCAACATTTTTACATTAGACTTGAGAAAAAACAGCTGACATTCGCCAGCTGGGTGACCATTTTAATAGATCTTGATTTGGACTTTGTTTACATTTTCATAATAGAAGTCAATTCATAATAATGGATTTTGTCAGCAAACTTTAGAGGCAGCTGATTTCCAGTTGGTCTCCATGAAGATTACCTTATTTATAGGCCTTGTATGTAGTCAATCTGAAAAATATATAATCTTAGGTTGAAGGAGGTCCTTCTGTTCGTAGATGACCTTGAGAAAACCCAGCTGACTTTAACCAGTGTTCGCAAAAAAACGGTACACTATCGTAGTGTACCGTACCAGGAACACAAACACTAAAAATTTTTTAGCGTTAGTGTTCCGGTACACAAACATTAAAAAATATTTTAGTGTTACTGTTCCGGAGCACAACGAAATTCGTAGTGTACCGCGGTCGGAGCACTAAAAATCGTAGTGTACCGCTGTCGGAACACTAAAAAACCGTAGCGTACCGCGGTCGGAACACTAAAAATCGTAGTGTTCCACTTGCCGGAACACTAAAACTCGTAGTGTTCCACTGGCCGGAACACTAAAAATCGTAGTGTTCCATTTGGCGGAACACTAAAAATCGTAGTGTTCCACTTGGCGGAACACTTAAAATCGTAGTGTTCCATTTGTCGGAACACATAAAGATGTATTAATTATATTTTATTTTTTGTATGAATAAAATTTATATATTTTTTTTAATAGATTTAATAAATAGAAAACTTGTTAAATTTGTATTTGTTTATATTTTATTAAAAATTAGTAATATTTTATTAGCATCTACAGTTTAACATAATAAATATTTTATAACTATAAAAGGTCGTCGAGTGAAAATTCAATCTGATGCCAACTCGCAACTGAAAATTCCATTGGATTACATTTTCGCTGATAATCGATTGCGCTGATCGGAAAAATGTATTGCATAAGACTACCTGTGCAAAAATCATAAAGAATATGTGGTTTTGTAAAATTTATCCCAAAATCATAAAAATATTTTTTTCATACCCGCGTAATTTGTACACTTCTTTTAATGAATAAGCAGGTAATAATTATGTTGATTGTGTGACAATCACCAAATTTTGAATATTTTTAAAAACAGACGTGGAACGCTACTTTGTATTGTTCCGACCAGTGGAACACTATGATTTTTGGTGTACCACTGCCGGAACACTACGATTTTTAGTGTTCCGGCAAGTGGAACACTAAGATTTTTAGAGTTCCGATAAGCGGAACACTAACATTTTTAGTGTTCCGTCCAGAGGAACACAAAGATTTTTAATGTACCGCAGTCGGTACACTACGATTTTTAGTGTACCGCTGTCGGTACACTACGATTTTTTAGTGTACCGCAGCAGGTACGCTAAGATTTTCGTTGTGCTCCGGAACAGTAACGCTAAAAATATTTTTAGTGTTTGTGTACCGGTACAGTACGTTATTTTAGTGTACCTATCCACCTTGGTACGGTACAGAACACTATGGAACGGTACCATAATGTTTATTTTCGAACGCTGACTTTAACTTGAGAAAAAACAGCTGACTTTCGCTAGCTGGGTGATCCTATTAATAAACCTTGGTTTGGACTTTGTTTACATTTTCATAGTAGAAGTCAATTCACAATAATGGATTTTGACAGCAAACTTAAGAGGCAGCTGATTTCCAGTTTGTCTCCCTGAATGGCATTATGTATATAGTATGAAGTCAATCTGAAACAATATATGATCTAAGGTTGAAGGAGGTCCCTCTGTTCGTAGAAGATCTTCAGAAAAACAGCTGACATTCGCTAGCTAGTTGACCTTATTAATAAACCAGCATGTCTTTCTGAAAATGTCTTTATTTATATGCCTTGTATGTAGTAAATATGAAAAAAATATATGATCTTAGGTTGAAGGTGATCCCACGGTTCGTAGAAGACCTAAAACATATTTGTCTATAAATGATCTATACAAAATCTTTTCTAGTATATGAAGCGTAAAATTATCTTGTTGAAAGTGGTAGCTGATACCCAGCTGGTCTCCCTGGATGACCTTATTTATAGGCCTTGCATAGATTTTTTGAATTTAGGAGTTTTTTTTCTCTTATGTTGGTAAAGATCAATACCAGCTGGTCTCATCCAGAGAGTCCAACTGGATATCAGCTGTCACTTAAGTTTGCTGTCAAAATCTATTATAGCGAATTGACTTTTATAATGAAAACGTAAAAAAAGTTCAAATTTTTGACAATTGAGAAAAAAACTGTTTTCCGATTGCTAACTGGATGACCTTTTTAATTGGTCCTGGATATATAACAGATATTGTTATTTGATAAATATGACACAATAAATCTACGCTCCAGAGTTGTATTTTCCTCTACTAATTTATATTTATTATTAATTTTAAAAAGTTTCTAAAAATGATTTTCTAAGCCTTTCCCTGATTCATAAAAAAACATTTATAAAACTATTTTAAAAATTTTATTTTATTATTACAAAAAATAGTAAATGAATTACAATTGTAAAAAAATGTTTGCAGTTACATTACATATACATACATTTCAAATATAATATATGATTAAATTTATTGATAAATAAATAATAACAAAATAAACGAGTTGATGATTTTCATTTAGAGTGTAGAAGAAGAAAAATTAAAAACAAAATATACATTTACAGACGGACAGCTATTTAAAAAAAATTAAGGAAAAATAGTAAACAAAAGATTTATAAATAAAATAAAACTTTACGTTTTTCTTTATACAACTACAATTACATAATATAAATTTAAGTAATTTAACAATGTTTTATATATAAAAAAGTTATTGTGCTTTGTTTATTAATTTATTTTTTTGTTAAGGATTTAATTTGAACTGTTGTAACTTAGATTTGCGTATTTTTTATAAAACTATTTCTTGACAATGACTATGAGTTTGATATTTCATATTTTTTATTATTCATGGTCTGTTCCCGCACTGCAAGAATCTACTAATTTTTACTATTTTTCGTAGTAACAAATTTTTCATTAACCTTTCAGGTTAAGGAACAGACCTTTTGTGTGTGTATTTTGGGATATATAAATCGATAAATCGAATTTGGTGTTAATACTCTACATCGTAGTCAAACATTCGCTTTCAAGACCAAGATCTATAAATAAGGTCACCCAAGTAGCAATCAAAATCGGAAAACAGCTGTTTTTTCTCAAGTCTAATGTCAAAAATGTCGACTCTGTTTACGTTTTCATAATGTAAGTCAATTCACAATAATGCATTTTGACAGCAAACTTGAGTGGCGCAGATATCCAGCTGGTCCCCCTGGGTGACCTTACTTGTATGCCATGTTCAAGACCTATTAATAAGGTCATCAAGGAAAATCAGCTGTTTCAGCTGACTTCCATTATTAAAATGTAAACAACGTGCAATTTTTTGACATTTAACAGCTGTTTTTGACATTCTGAGTGACCCCATTCAAGATCTATTAATAAGGTCAACCAGATAGCGAAAATTTGGACTTTGTTTACGTTTTTATAATGGATGCCTGGATGACCTTATTTATAGGCCTTGGTCTTACTAAATTATAGAAAAATTTGATTTATATTCCTTATGCGATGTTTTTTTTATTAAATAATTATTATTTTTTTTTAATTTATTAAAACTTAAAATAACAAAAACATAAAATTTTGTTAATTCACCTCTTAATTAAAGTCAACGGAAAACAAAATGGTGTGATGTGCGTGTGTGATTGAGGAGTCATATAAACCTATGCATATTTTTTTATATATAAAATATTTTTTTTTAAATTATAATTTGTTTTGTTCATAATTTTATCGGTTAGACTGGGGTATGTTTTGTGTGGTGAAGTAATAAAAAAGGTAGGTAGTCGTTTTTTTATGCAGACAACAACCATGCACATTTGAATGCGGGCGTTACAATCAAGCTCCACATTTTTATTAGCTAAGCGCACAATACATACATACACAAAATATGAAAATTGTCTGTCGGTCTGTCTGTCATTCATTCGGTTGATCTGTCTAGGCTATATATGGTTTTGCATTTTAATTTTATTTCTTATTTGTTTGTATTTTTTGTTTACTTCTTAATTTATGGCAGAATTTTTATTTTTCGAAATCTGTGGCGGCGGCTGGCTGCATTTTTCTTCTTTCGTCCATTTCTCAAGAGTCAATCCGCATCTTAGATTGTGGCACCACTCTTATGTTCCAAATACAGGAAATATGTACCGGCAGCATAGGCCAAAAAGTTGAACAGACCAAAGACACCTGCAGCAATATTTGAACCATAACCATAGGACTCCGAGGAATATGATGACCACTTGGCCAATTGTACAATAAAGGCAATGAAGTACAGAATGGTGGCAATGCCAGTATTGAGCAATTCCTAGAGAGAGACAAATAGAGTAGAAGAATGAAAGTGAATTAGTATGTATTGAAAGCAGCTGATTTGATTGGTAAATCATTAAATCGAATTATTACAAATATTAGATAATTTGCCAATTTTGTAAATGTGTGGGTTTTTCTGACAAAGGTGCTGTTAGGATAATTTTAATTGCTGTTTTTAATTAGTTTTTTAAAAGCGTTTAAGTTTTTTTGAAAATTCCGATAGGTTAAATGATTTTTGATTAAAAAATGCCAAGCCGAGCCACGATTTCGCCAAAAAGTCAAATGTTAAATAAGTAAATTTTAGGTTAGGTTACTAGGTATTTGGAATTAGTTGATTGTGTTTAGTAAATCTTCTTAAAAATAGTAAGAAAAATATTCATTTTTAAAATTGTCCTCAGATTGAACGTTTTCATAATGCGAATTCCATTCACAATAAGGGACTTCGACAACAAACTTGAAAATCATCTGATCTTCGTGGATGATCTTGTTAATAGACCGTAGTTATCATTCTGTGAAGTCAATTCCAAATAATGTATTTCGCCAGCAAATAAGGTCTACATAGAAGGGAGAAACCCTTATGTAGAAATTGAAAAACAGCTGTATTTCTCAAGTCTAATTTCGAAAAAATTTCGACTCTGTTTACGTTTTCATAATGGAAGTCAATTCACAATAATGCATTTTGACAGCAAACTTGAGTGGCGCAGATATCCAGCTGGTCTCCCTGGATGACCTTATCCATTATTGTGAATTGACTTCCATTATGGATACGTAAACGAAGTCCAAATCTTTGACATTAGACTTGAGAAAAAACAGCTGATTTTCGCTAGTTGGTTGACCTTATTAATCTTGGTCTGTTTCCCAAGATTGCTATTAAAATCTATTAATTCGGAGTATTACAATGTAAAAAAGCAAGCAAGGCATATAAATAAATTAATTTAAGAACAAAAAATGAATTCTTTAATTTTGGGCAACTTCTTTCGTAAATCGCATAATTCTTTAATATTTCAACAACTATTTGTTATATAAAATAGGTCTGTGACCGAGCTATATTAATAATATATCTCTCAAGTTTGCTGTCAAAAACATTATTGTGAATTGACTTCCATTATGAAAACGTAAACAAAGTCATCCAGGGAAACCAGCCGAAACCCATTATTGTGAATTGACTTGAACGTAAACAAAGTTCAAATTTTTGACATAAGGCTTGAGAAAAAAATAGCTTACTTGTGCCGGCTGGATCTTGTTTTCGACTGTCCAACAATTACGTATATTTTTGTAGATGTTCGATGTGTCACAAACCGAACTAATATTTAAAACTCATATCTCAACAATAAAACGCGTTAGAGTTAGGGACATGCAAGTAGACTTTCTAATAATAGATTAATTGACTTGCTACGCGAAGGAATATCCTTTTAAATAGAATAGTTTTTTGAGTGGGGATTTAAAACATTCTACTATGCACAGATACCAACAATGGCTACGCCAAAGAATGTCCATGTTTTTGTAGGGTTCCATGGCCCATATACATAGTATAAACCGAAATGTGAATCCTGTGTGGTCTAAGCCTAGCATGTACAATAACCATAAATTTAGCGAAAATATCGGATACACCACCATAAAAAAGTACGAAAAGTATAATATGGTACTATATTTGGTACAAATTTAATTTGGAGGTACAAGTCGAGGTGGAATCCTGAAAATTGAAATTAACATTACTATCGGAGTGTAGGATTGGGATATGTACGTAGTTTTGGACATTTTTTACTTATGTATACGAAAAGTACTAAATCGTACTATAATTGGTACAATTTGGATTTGGGTGAACCAATAGAGCTGGAACAATGAAATTTGGAGTCAGGATCACTGCTGGGATGTAGGATTGGGGTCAGGATTCAGTTTAAGAAATTAATAATTATGGGTACTGAATGGTACTAAATTTAGTACAATTTAAATGTTTAGTGGACCGATGGAGCTGTAATCCTGAAATTTGAAGTTAGGATCACTGTTGGGATTTGAGATTGAGATATGTAGGAAGATTTGTACTAAATTTGGTACAATTTAAATTGTGGGTTAAGCGATAGATTTGGAATCCTGAAACATGGATTTAGCATCACTGTGAGGGTGTAGGTTTGGGTTAAGTAGAAAGTTTTGGAAATTCGTACTACTGTGTACAAAATTTGGTACAATTGAATTGTGGGTGAACCGATAAGGTTGGAATCCTAAAACATAGATTTAGGACTGTAGGTTTAGGGGTGTAGGTTTTGGTTAAGTAGGTGAAACGATAGAGTTGAAATCCTGAAATTTGGAGTCAGGGGTGTAGGATTGGGGTATGAGGGAAGTATTGGAAGTTGGTATTACTATGTACTAAATTTGGTACAATTTGAATTGTGGGTGAACCGATAGAGTTGGAATCCTAAAACTTGGATTTGATTTTAGGTGGGTGATTATGGAAATAATATGTGCTCAATGGAACTAAATTTGGTAAAATTTGAATTTGTGTGAACCATTAGATCTCCAATCATGAAATTTGATACTAAATAGTACTCAAATTTAATTTATTGTTATTATATTTTCCATATTCGCTAACGAAGTAGCGGGCATATGCTAGTAAATTATAACCTAACTTAAATTTAGGTTTAAAAAGTCGCTTCGATTTATTAAAAGTGTATATGCACCTATTGCATTCAAATCTTTAGGGAGACTATTTTTCATAATTTTACTATGTTTTCGGAAATGTTGTGCTAACGGAAATTGTTTAAGAAAATAGTCATAGTGTCTTTTAAGAGAAAATTCTGTATATATTTTTTTTTATTTTTTGGTCCCGGTCCAATAAAAGTCATTGATATGGAAAATGTTCCACATGATCGATAGGGTCATGCTTACTGAACTTTCCAATTCATTGTCATTGTATAATAATTAGTTAAATAGAAAGAAGAAAAAGAGAAGACATGTTGAAGAATGAATTGTTATTTACGCAAAAGGGAACGATCAGCCCAAAACCATTTACCGTGAAAACATAAAATTTGTGCTTTTAAAGAAAAAATGACACACACATATTTATATATTTAGGTAATTACATACCTGTTGGTAAAATTAAATTTTATTTTTTTAAATATTTTTTCTTTTGTGTTGTAATTTTTTAAATATTAAAAATTAAATATTTGAAAAAGAAACACTTGTTACACTTATGTGCTGGCTTTACGAACTTTGGCATAGAATTAGTTTCTGAGTGGATTTATTATGTATGGCTCATTTAGCATAGAGCGTTGAATATATATTTTCGTTCGATTTCATATACAGAAGGGCCCACCCAAGATGCTAGGTCTATACGATAGAGAGGATATTGTTCATCGTCATTTGAGAGAGGAGCATCTCTTGTGCAAACCCAAAGTGTGGTGGGGTATCATATAGTCAGACACGTCCGATTTTTGGTTTTTTCTTATTATTTTTTTTTGGATATCTTTTGGGTTCCTTTACTTGCTTTGTGGTTAATATATTTTTTTCTAATAATCTCAAAATCGTTTCAAATGACTATTTATGACGAGATTGTTATTTATCTTGCCGTAACATTAATATTTGGCCTCAAAACTGAACTTGTTTCAATATTATTTCGAAATTCTTTTGCAAATCAATTTACAACTTAAATTCCAAACTTCAGACCGTACAATTACTCTAAGAACCCAATTCCATAACAGCAACAACAACATACTGACCAAAGGCAATAACCAACAATAACAACAACAAGAAAATTCTAAAGAGAAAAAAATTAAAAAACGGTTAACAAGTTACTCTGCTACACCATGCATCTAAAACCGTATTCTAAGCAAGATTTTATGCGATTTTCAAGTACGTTGTATATTTTGCTTGGCTTAATGTGGTTTCTTCAGACGCACACATAGTCTGTGGCGTTTCGAAAACCGGTTGGCATGACGTTTATTAATAAATGTACTTGGCCAACAAAAATCTAAATAAAAACCACAAATCATTACAATGAACGGAATGGAACGGGTCTGGAGTACTACTACATACTATAAAATAAAACAAGTGCGCCAGAGACTTAGTTGGTCGCGCCTCCATTACTGTAAACGCCATTCATTGACGTTGTTGCAATGCGAACATTGTTACCAGCCATGGGAGCACGTCGTTGTTGGGTAGGCAAGCAGGCAGACAGGTTGTCATTATATCGCAATGCTTGACCGACCAACTGTGAAATTTCCACTGAATTTGAAGTTTGTAACTTAGAAATATTTACTCATTTTTTTTCGAAGTAGTAAATGTGGAAAAGGGGTTTGGGTTGAAGAAGATAATAATTTGGGGGGTTTCACTTAGGAATGACACATTTAAACAATTAAATTACTAATTAATCATCATTTTTGGTGTGATGGATTTACACTTCATTATCATCAAAGGGAATGACCGAAATGTGTCATTTTGAATGTTTGACTGATATGAGTAATAAAATAGGTCAGCTAATTCCGAACCCACCATTGTAGGAGGCCTACAGTTTATGCCCTCCGCATTATGGTTAATGAGGGTATAAAAACTTTGATAAAGTTAAAATGGGCCTTATCGAAATATTGGTTTTTGGACCAAATCCCTTTCAGGGAATTTGGAGTCGATTTACAAATATCCGTCTGGCCGTCTGTCTGGTGCACGATAACTCTCGAAGAGACTAATCGATTTCATCCAACCTTTGCACATCTTAATATTTCTTCCTAAGGTCAAATACAGGGTGAGATAAAAAAAACTGCAACAAAGTCAAACGCCATAATTTTTACATTTTTTTTTAATTTTATTGAATGAAAGCAAAACAATTCGGAAATAGTATCAAATTTTAGAATACGTTTAGATTTGTTCGAATTTGTCACGAATTATGGTCTTCAAACGGCTAATGCAACCGTCACACGCTGCCAGAATGTTGATCTGCGGTATTTTGTCCCATTCCCAGTTTTTTCATCCCGATGAAAACGATATTTTTATAAAGCGAATAATAAAACTTGTGTGTAATTCCGAAGACATACGCAAACCATTGGCTGAGGGAATATATCTGTCGGTATATTATATATGGGCTATTAGGGTATTATGTATTTGTACATACGTAGTCGAAAGTAAAAGTTGACTTTCAGACTTTTCGATTTTTTCTGAGTAAAAAGTTGACTTTTCGATCTTTCGATTTTGCCAAACCTGCTCAAAGTCGATTTTCGACTTTTAACGACTAATGCAAAATCAACTATTTTTTAGGCTTAAATATACTTTACGGGCACCTTACAGATCATTTTGAACAGCATAAATTTTCTCGGGGGGAAATCAGTACTTCCCGAGATATGTGGTTAAAAAATTTTAAAAATAATTTTTATTTTTTTCCTCTAAGAGACTCAACTCGGATTGTTCTGATTCAACAGAGGTATATGAAATCTCTGGCCGAATGCCTTCTATTCTGAAAAAATCATATTAAAAGAAAATTCTGCTCGCGTAGCCCAATGTTCCACCTGTCCATAGGTGAAAGTCTTAAATCCCCTGCCGAAAGCCGACTACTCAGTACTCCTTAGTTTTTATCTTTTTGCCCTAAGAGACCCAGTTCGGATTGTTCTAGTTTAACAGAGGTATATGAAATCCCTGACCGAAGCCAGTACTCCTTAATTTTTATTTGTTTGCCCTAAGAGACCCAATTCGGATTGTTCTGTTCTGAAAAAAATCAAATTAAAAGAAAATTCTGCTCGCGTAGCCCAATTTTTTTTTCCACCTGTCTATAGGTATTATGTGGTTGTGATCAGCACCAAAAGGACCAAATATTAATAATGAAAATCGAAAGTCTACCTTGAAATGTTGACATTGCGATTTCCTCAAAGATCACAAGTCGACTTCGACTTTTAGGCCTTTCAATACAGAAAGACGATTATTAGTCGAAAGTCGAGTTACTTATCCCTAGTTTGTAACATGCATAGGCAAACTGCATGAACCCGTAGTAATTTTTGAGGATATACTTAGCATCACTTCCAGAGTAGATTTATGCATTTTCGTCCGTCCATCTGTTAATGTAAAATTGTACAGGTCGCATTTATTTTCAGCATGAGATGAAATTTGGCACAGTTCATTTATTTCGAAATCGGTTCAGATGTAGATATAGGTCTCATATATAATTTTATCCGGTTGTGTGTACCCAATGTGAAGTAGAGTATCATAAAGTCGGTCCCATTCTTGTGTGTACCCAATGTGGAACATTGGCAAAAAATTACTTCAGAGTAATGGCCTTGCACATTTGGTCCTTCGAGTTGCATATAAATTAATCGGAGTTTAATATTATAGTCATACATTTGGTCCTTTGAACTGCATATAAAGTAAGTGCGAGTACGATATTGTTGTTCAAGTGTATGACCATTTATGTCTGATACGAGCGCAGTTCGGAAAGTTCTTAGCCTAGCACAAAAAGAGCAGAAAAAGTTAAAGTTAAAAGTTTTGTTCAAAAAAAAAAAAAAAAACGCATCCGCAATTTTTTCACAATGAAAGCACGCATTTCTAATTTTTCCATTGTAAAGCATTGCGGATGCGTCTTTTTTGAACACCTGCTTCTATATGAAGGAGTTGCCATATCGAAACAAAATTTAACATGTGTTCAAAACAGAGAGAGAGTTTCCAAAACACTTTACTTCTTTCTGTTTATACCGCGCTTTTTGTGCTAAGAACTTTTCGAACGGCCCTCATATTAATATATATGTATATGTCCCATTTTTAAATTTGTATAAGGTTTTTAATCCAGGTCCATTAACCCATGTGATCAGTAATAGCAAAATAATTTTGATTAGTATTTAGTAATTTTTTTAAATGCCAGTCATTAATAAAAATTATTTTTTTTAATATTTGGGATCAAATCAAACTTACCGTAAATATCCAATTGATGGCAACATTCAATGCCTCCCTAATACCCAACAAATAGGCGAATATCCATAGCAAAGTGGCAATAAATGAGACTACAGCAACAAAAAGGAAGAAGGCTGTTGCGGAAATATATGAGGGTGATGCGCAGGCCATACAAATAATGCCAAGGAACTGCAAATAGAGGAGTAACAATAAAAGTAATCATTAAAAAATATTTAAAAAAGTGGAAAAATTAAAAAAATCAAAAGCCTACAAATGTGTCTTCAATTATTTCTTTAAGTTTTGGAATAAAAATGTTAAATAAGTGGAAAGAACAAAAAATCGTATTGATCGATTTACTCTGAAACATGACATGACTTTTTACAGCATTTTTTAAAATTTAAAAATTATTTAAAAATTTAAAAATGATTTCATTTTTATTATTTGCAAACACAGTATTTTTCAAACAACCGCTAATGTTTTTTAATTAAAACAAATGTGGGTGTCGGCAAAAAACACACATTTAAAAATTAATAAAAATTACTTTGTATTTGAATAATAATTTCAAACACACTAATATACAAACAAATAAAATAAAAACAATATTCATATTGACATACAACTGCTGCATTTATTTCCTCCAAATATTCGCAACATCTTAATAGCTCCCCCACAAAAAAAAACGTATTCTCAAAATTTAAATGATCTCCGAAACAAAATGCTGAGCTCATCACCCGCTGACATAAACATAATGCACAACAAATACAATAATCGCGACAACACAGCGTTTTCATTCTGTATTCGAACCTAATTTTTGTTGTTGTTGGTTGGTAAAAAACGCTAAGAAACCAGTTTCCAGTCTTTTTTATTAGCTACTTATAATACGTAAACAATTGTTTATTAGCACTTTTATTTAGTCAACAATGCAAATATTTATAGTCGTGAGCAATAAAAGAGCATACAAGAGGGAAAAATTCTAGAAATTAAAAAAAAAACAAAAATATGTTTTAAATTATAAAAAATATATTAATTTTGAAAAATATAAATTAAAAAAAATATAAAAAATATTTTTTAAAAAATGTATATATTTTTTTCAAAATCTAAGCCTACTGACAATATAAAAAATATATGTTTTTTTAATTTATTTTTCTTTTCAAAAACTAAGCCTACTGAAAATACAATTTTTTCAAAATCTACGTCTATTGAAATTATAAAAAATACGACTAAAGTGATTGACTGACTGACTTAACAATTCATCAACGCCCAGACGAAGCGGCTGAAGCTAGAATCTTGAAATTTTTGGGTGGGGGTCACTCTTGGTCCAAATGTGACAGATAAGGCTGGGTTTTTGGAAATTCGTACTATAACGGTACGAAAAGTAATAAATGTGATACCATTTGTATTTGGCGAACCGGAAGAACTAGAACATTTGGATTGGTGGTCGTTGATGGAGTGTAGGATAGATATACCAAAGGGTTTTTGGAAATTCGAACTATAATCGAGCTGGAATCCTGAAATTTTAAATTACCATTATCGTCGGAGTGTAAGAATGGGATATGTCGTAGTTTTGAATTTTTTTACTGTTGTGTACGAAAAGTACTAAATCGTACTATAATTGGTACAATTTGGATGAATCGATAGAGCGGAAACAATGAAATTTGGAGTCAGGATCACTGTAGGGGTGTAGGATTGGGGTCAGGATTCAGTTAAAGCAATTTATATTCATGGGTACTAAATGGTACTAAATTTGTTACAATTTGAATATTTGGCGAACCAATAGAGCTAGAATCATGAAATTTGGAGTCATTATCACTGTTGAGGTTTAAGATCGAGATATGTAGGAATTTTTAACATTTTTTACTAATGTGTACTAAATTTGGTACAATTTACAAACTTGGATTTAGAATCACTGTGGGGGTGTAGCATTGGAGTATGTATGAAGTTTTGGAAATTGGTAATACTGTGTATTAAATTTGGTACAATTTGAATCGTCAGTGAACCGATAGAGTTGGAATCCTGAAACTTGTATTTGGGATCACTGTGGAGGTGTAGGTTAAGTAGGAAGTTTTGAAAATTCGTACTACTGTGTGCTAAATTTGGTACAAATTGAATTGTGGATGAATCGATAAATTTGGAATTCTAAAACTTGGATTTAGGATAACTGTGGGGATGTGGGTTTGGGTTAAGTAGGATGTATTGGAAATTCGTACTGTTGTGTACTAAATTTGGTACAATTTAAATTGTGGGTGAACCATAGAATTGGGATCCTGAAATTTGAATTTGGAATCATTGTGAGGGTGTAGGATCGGGGTATGCAGGAAGTTTTGGAAATAATGTGTGCTTTGGTACTAAATGGTACTCAAATTTAATTTATGGTCGATGTTAATGTATTGATAGCTTATTTTTTCTGACATATGTGGTTTTCTGTGAAAATAAAATAATATTTTAATACATGTTTAAATATATTCGCTAAAGAAATAGCGGGCACATGCTAGTTGAAATAATAAAATAAATATTTAAAAAAACGTACGCCTATTAATAGCTTCAAAAATATATATTTTTATAAACCTACGCCTATTAGTAGGTTCAAAAATATATATTTTTAAATCTACTAATCTATTATTATGCTTCAAAAATATTTTTTCAATCTACGCTTGTTTTTATGCTCCAAAAATATTTTTTCAATCTACGCTTGTTTTTATGCTCCAAAATTATTTTTTTTTTCAATCTACGCCCAATTATTATGGTTCAAAATTGTTTATTAAAAATCTACGCCTATTATTATGCTTCAAAAATATTTAAAAAAAATACGCCTATTATTTTAAGAAATCCACGCCTACGTATATTCTTAGGCTTGCAAAAATATTTAAAAAAATGAATGCGTATTTCTATTTGTTTTGTTTGTTTTAATTTTTTTCATTACAGTAAAACATTGTTTGTCCGCTTTGTTGTATTGAACAGATAAATAGGTGGAGGTATACTTCAATGTTTACGTCACACCTGTTGCACTGCACAAGAAAAATATGAAAATATTTTCGGTTACCCTTCACCCTTCGTGTGTGTGTTTGTGTTTTTCACATATTTCTGTTTTCACTGTTTAACGTATCTCTGGCTGGCTGTTCGTTCGTTTAATCTTAACTGTCTAGATACGCCCCAACCACCTGAAAAACTTGTTTCTATTTGCAAGTTTTCATCAACATTCATTCTTTTTTTTTGAGTATTCTATTATTAACGCATTTTTTTATTTTGTTCTTTTCACAGGTTACTTTGAAAGAAAACAAAACAAAATAAAAAAATACAAATTAGATGCAAACAATCGGATACAAAAGCTCTTGGCTCCCACAGATTTTGCAGGCAGGCAGGTTGGCATCTGTAGCGAAAACACATGTGCAACCAGTTACGGGGCACACAAACAAACATACATACATACATACTTGGGTACATTACTTTTCGTCGTCTGTCGCATGTTGCATGTGTGTATAAAAATAATAAAATTGACATAATATTAGACAACTACATCAAACACACACAACCGTACAGAGATACAAATATACTCAACTAGAGGCCAAAAAGAAAAACCGCATCCGTTGCTACATGTTGCACAAAATTCTTGGGGTGATTTTTTAGTTAGTTTTTTTTTATTTATTTCCAACAACCCACAATTGTGTCATTATTCTCTGCTGAGATCAGCAGCGAGTGGAAGAAGAAGAATAAGAAAATATTTTGATTTTTTTCATTAGCATAAATTGTAAAGCGTTTGCTCTTAAATGAAATGTATTCAAATTGGAACTAGAAGAAAATTCTATAAAAACCAGCAAGGAAAGTAGTAAAGTCGGTCTGGGCCTTACAATTGCATGTCAATGTTCCCTCGAAGGAACGAATATATATGTATATGTGGGAGCTATATCGAAATCCTAACCGATTTTTACGAAATTTAACACACATCTTTCTATACTTAATTCTGTAAGCTATGCCAGATTTCATGCAAATCGAAGGATACAAAGGGTGCTCTATTACCTAAAATCGGACGAAAATATATATGGGAGCTATATCTAAATCTGAACCGATTTTTACGAAATTTGACACACATCGTTGTAGACTTATTTCAGCACGCTTTGCCAAATTTCGTGCAAATCGAAAGATATATAGGAACTTTGGTAGACCATTTACATTAAATCGGACGAAAATATATATGGGAGCTATATCGAAATCTGAACCGATTTTCATGAAATTTAACACACTTCACTTTAGACTTAATTTAGTACGCTATGCCAAATTTCGTGCAAATTGAAGGATATATATAGGGACTTTGGTGCTCTATTTACCTAAAATCGGACGAAAATATATATGGGATCGTTATCTATATCTGAACCGATTTTTACGAAACTTTGCACACATCAACTCAATTCAAAACGCTATACCAAATTTCGTGCAAATCGAAGGATATATAGGGACTTCAGTGCACCATTTACCTTAAATCGGACGAAAATATATATGGGAGCTATATCTAAATCTGAACTGATTTTTTCCCAATTTCAATAGGGTTCGTCCCTGGGCCGAACAAGTGACCTGTGCCAAATTTCATCCAATTCGGATCATAAATGCGACCTGTACTTTGTTTGCAATTTAACATGGATAGACAGACGGACGGACGGACATGCATAAATCGACTTAAAAAGTGATTGTATGTATATTCTCAAAAGGAACCATGTGTCTATCTCGTTTCCTTTTGTCTGTTATAAACATATGCACTAAGACATAATACCCTGTACCACAGTGTGGTGAAGGGTATAAAAAATGTTTTTTTAAAAAATCTATGCCTAATGAAATTATATTTTTTTTAAGCTAAGCCTATTAGTAGCTTCAAAAATATTTTTTAAAAATCTACGCCTATTAGTAGCTTCAAAGATAGTTTTTTAAATAAAAATTTAAAATTTGAAATTATTCTTAGTTTTGTATTAAGTTTCCCCCATTCATTCGAAACTTATTTTCAATTCTTGTTTTTAAATTTATTTTCCCTTTTAAAATTAACTACAAAAATATTCAAATTATTTCATTATCACAAAGAAAAACAACCATTCATTGGTAAAAGTTTGGAATTTATTAATAATTTTGAATATTTAAAGCCAATAAAAACCACCAAATATCCAAACTATCAAATAAAGCTTTAACTAATTTGCATAAATTGTAGA